CTTGGCTTATTTTAGTTCTGCTGTTTGTCGGTAAAACATACATATTTTTTTTAAACCACTGCTAAATATCCTTTTTGGTTTCCTTGTCCCTGAGGAAAATTTTAAGTAAACTGGCTATCTTGACGTGTGTCAAGTTTACATTTCATATAATATTCAAGGGAAGAATTTATTTAGATCTTCTTAGATATCTTCCATTAGCCATTTGTATTTAGTTTTCAGCATATAGATCCTGTACATACTCATATTTTGTTAGGTTTATTCCAAAGTATTTAATTGTATTGGAGTGATTGTAAGTGGTCATAAATTTCGAAAATTGGAGTTCATTATTGGGTCATATTTACTGTAATTTTGGTCAGTTTGCAAAATATCTACATTTTAAAAAACATGTATAAATATGCCTTTATTTTCCTTAGTATTATTTTTATTAAGAACTATTTCAGACACATAAAAATACAGATTAAATAATAAACACTAAAAAGGTGTCATGATGTGCAGAAGTTTTAAATTTTTTTTTTTTTAAAGATTTTTATTGAGGGAATTGGGGGGATGGGAACAGTGCTGGGGAATTGGGGGAAGGGGAACAGACAAGTTGCTGTCATTTTGTTCTTCAGTCTAGTTGTGGAGGACGTTGCTTCACTGGCCCAATTGGCACCATCATTGCGCTCTTCCTGTGCGAGGCAGATCAGTCACCGGCTTCTGGACGGTCGCTCACAGTGGCTCTTGGCAGCTCACACTGGCTGCTGGCTACACACGGTAGCCCCTGGCAACCCACTGTCACAGGGGCTGCAGCCTACACCGTCGCCGGCAACTCACGGCAGCCCAGCTCCAGGTTGAGCTGTTGTTCAGCATCTTAGCTGTGGAGGGCAGTGTCAGTGGCCCTCATATGTGGGATCCGAACTGGGGCCCTCTGGCGTCCCAAGCCAGTCTTAACCATCGCGCCACTCGGCGGGCCCCAGAAGTTAGACGTTTTAAATTTTAACTTAGTTGGATTTGCCTGTATTTTTTTCTTTGTGATGTATCTCTTTTGTGTCTTTTTAAAAAAATCCTGCCATGCCTCAGTGTCTTAAAAGCATTTTCTTGTATTCCCTTCCTGAAGTTTTAAAGATTTGCTTCTCTTATATAAACCTTTAATTCACCCAGAATTCTTTTCTGTTTATTGTATGAGTTAGGATTTTCTTTCTGCCAGTTTTCTAAAACAATTTATTGAATTGTTTTCCCTGATTGCAGTGTCACCTCTGTTTTATATACATGTGGGTCCCTGTGTATGTGGGTTTGTAGCTCAGCTCCCATTTCTGTTGCAGAGGTCTGCTGGTTTATTCCTGTACCAATACTGTGCTTTCTAATTTTGCATATATTTAAAATGTACAATTATGTAAGTTTGGACCCCTACACTTGTGAAACCAACACCAAAGTCAAGGTAATGAATATTGTCCCAAAACTTTTCTTGTACCTCTTGGTAAACCCTTTCTCCTGCCCTTCCCTGGTATTCTTCACGACTCCCCTCTTCCTCCCTCCTTCTCAGGCAACCCTTTATTTGCTTTCTATTACTGTAATTAGTTTCTATTTTCTAGAATTTTACATACATGAAATCATACAGTGTATGCTCTTTTTGTCCAGCTCTTAGGGGAGGAGTGTAATCTAGACTTAGTGGTTAAGATCGTAGGAGCTGGCGACAGACCATGTAATCTTAAATGTCTGCTCTATCACTTATTTATAGCTACGAGGCCTTGGGCCTGCTGTCCTCTCTAAGTCCCAGTTTCCCAGGTTGCTGTGAGAGAGTAAAATTTTCCACAGGGAGAATGGGAGGAAAGAAAATACAATGCTTGAGGATAGAACTGTGAGCATTTTTAATATACTGTATATATGGTTGGCAAGCATATACATGACCATATGCAGAAGTTTCAGAAGTCAGAGGGAAGGATGAGGAAATGGTTTAATATAGACGTAAATATCTGTAAAATAAATACAACTAAAAAGGAGATGATGTGAGCCTATGTTGAAATGATTGCTCGTGCTGGGAGAGAAATGAGAAAAAACCAGAGTAGAGATGAATAAAGAAACATGGGGTGATAGGTTAAAGGCTATGCTGTGGACAAAGAGTAGATTTAAGATTTAGGAGGCACAGAAGAAAAGAATTATTTCACAAATAAAATTTTCAAACTTTGAACATTCATCTTTTTTTTTCTTTCACTGTTATTAGCATTTATTTGATGCTGAATTTATTCCCGGGGCATACGATTTTGTTTCTTCAGTTTCTTCTGAGAGATCCTTTTCTTCTGTGCAGCCTCCTCTCTGGTTTAGGCACAATCTGCTCTTTCTCAGTGAGGATCCTCTCAGTGTGGCAGGGGGAGCTCATGTTAACCTGCCCACAAGCTTTGTAAGTTCCGCGCTGCATCCTGGGAACAAACACCTGGCTGTGCTCAGTGACCAGAGAGTCTACAGCTAAACCCTTACGTTCAGCTTTACTCTCTGCATTTTTAAGCACGTGCAGCAAAAGTTCAGCACTCTCTGGGCCACCGACCCTGCATTCAGCTCACTGTTTGGCCTGGGCACACCTCCCAACTCTACCATGTAACGATGGAATGGCGCACATTGCTTCTGTAAAGATACTTGGTGGCTTTTCGGATATGCATACCCTTGATGGCCTGGGCAGTTTCACGAGTGTTCTTAAAGTGAACATGAAGATTTGGACCTCTTGATTTGCATGATTTTGTGGGATTTTCTGGTTCAATTGAGTGGTGAACCATTTTCAGAAGTCACTTCAGGCCACTTATGAGAAGAGCCAGAGTTTGAAAGTTCTAAGGTGAGCCTTTCCAGAATATAATGTGGTTAACCGTGTATCATTTATTAAATTATAATAGAGGAAAATTAAAGGTGAAAGAGTGTTTATTGATAGAACTTGTGGTGAACAATAATAAATGGGACCTAAAATGATTGCTTCCACATTTTCTGGCTTCATGGCATTGAAGTGGCTGGTAGAAATGTAGTTTAGCAGAGTGAAAGCTAGTATATTTACATGTATTTCCTTTCCAGCATAGTCCAACATAATTTTAAGTACATAATGACTTAAGTATAGCAGTCTCAATGAGACTAGTCACCTAGGAAGTTTTCCATAATACTGAGCAGTAAATACCACCATATACACAGTACTGGTTCTTAGATGCCTTATAGTTTACATATAATATTAGATTTTTCCTGAGAGTTTTGCTGTACTCTGAATGTGAGTCATTACTCCCATTACCGGTTTTTTCTTTATGGCTTAATCCATACTCAGACAGGAAAAGTAATACAGGACAATTCAAAATTAAAGATGTTTAATAGAAACATACTTGGTTTCTTAGATTTGTGCTGTCAGTTTGATAGCCATCAGCCAGCTATGTTTATTGAGCACTGGATATACGGCCAGTTCAAACTGAGATGTGATACAAATGGAAATTAGAATATGCATTGAAACAAAGAATGTAAAATAGCTCATTAATAGTTTTTTTGTGGACTACGTTTGAAATGATAACACTGTAGATATGTTAGATAAATAAAATTCAATAAAATTAATTTTACTTGTTTCTTTTTTATTTATTTATTTAAAGATTTTATCGGGGAATTGGGAGAGGGGAACATTGTTGGGGAGTCGGGGAAGGGGAACATACAAGTTGCTGTCCTTTTGTTCTTCAGTCTAGTTGTGGAGGACATCGCTTCACTGGCCCATGTTGGTATTATCATTGCGCTCTTCCCGGGTGAGGCAGTTGCTCTCCGGCCATTGGACGGCCACTCACGGCAGCTCACAGCTGCTCACAGCAGCTCACAAAAGAGCAGGCCAGCTGCCAGCCAGCCCCACTGCAGCCTGTGCCGTTGCCGGCGACTCACCACAGCCCAGTTCCGGGTTGAGCTGTTGTTCACCATCTTAGCTGTAAAGGGCAGCGTCACTGGCCCTCATGTGGGATCTGAACCGGGGCCTATCTGCTCAGAGCTGGCATCTCAAGCCAACTCCTAACCAACGCGCCACTTGGCCGGCCCTCCTTTTTTTTACTTTTTAATGTAGCTGCTGTAAAATTTAAAATTTCATGTGGCTTTCATATATGACTCATATTGTATTCCTATTGAATAGCACTGTCTTAAGATGAAAGAAATCTAACTCATTTTTTGCTATAATCAAATGTGTCGTTATTGGTTGAGTTATAAATCCTTAGTGGAAAAGCAAAAAATCCAAAACAAACAAAAAACCTTCAGTGTATAAGTATGCTTAATGAAATGTGCTGTGAATGGATTTAGAAATAAGTGTTATCATTAGATTTGTGTTAGATGTAAAATAACATTTACATCTAACACAAATTGTTAGACTTCTTGTGGTAACTGGATACCAGACTTCAGCTGGCTAGTCTTGGGGTCTGAAAGTACACCTTTGCTTTGCCTTGTACAGATATCTAAGGACATTATGGCAGTGTCCTAAAAGCATCATGTCTTATAGCTAGATTGTATTATCTGATACAGCAGTGTCATGCTTGGTGATGCTTATGGTTTCATTCTAATTTTAGATTTTCTAAAACAGTGTAGCATCACTTGGGAACTTAGAAAAATAGAAATATTAACTCTTGAGCCCTAACCCAGCTGAATCAGAAACTCTGATGGCTGGGACTGGCAATCTGTTTAAACCCCAAGTGATTCTAATGCATATAAAGTCTGAGAAACACAGTTGTAGATTATGCTACTTTTATAGCAGTAGCAAAATCAACGTCTTTATAACAAGTCTCCATTTTGTCCCCTTGGTTCAGACCTGCTTATCCTATCATCTCATGATAAATTTAACTGATGTAAATTTTATTTTTATCATAAAAGTGCTCACAAAATTTTAGAGTTGATTTCTAAATAGTAATAATTATATTTATAGTTGTATTTTATTTGATTCTAATGAAAGTTTACTATATAAATATGATTTGAGCAACTATACACATGTATTTGGAAGGAATTACATTAATCATTTGTAAAACTCTCATATTTTTTAGGTGGATGCTCTCCGATTGCGTTTGGAAGAGAAGGAAACCATGCTGAATAAGAAGACAAAACAGATTCAAGATTTGGCTGAGGAGAAGGGAACACAAGCTGGAGAGATACATGACCTCAAGGACATGCTGGACGTGAAGGAGCGGAAGGTCAATGTCCTTCAGAAGAAGGTAAGGTGCAGATGTTCCCAGGTTGGTATTCCCGTCTGGCAGGGTCCTCATTCCTACCATTGAATTAGACCAAGTGTCAATGTTTGTCTCATTCTTCTGTTTTGTTTTTTGCGGTTAGTAATTAAAACTGTTGTTGTAATAGGTAGAGTGTTAAAATTGCTGTGCATATACAGTTTTTAAAATTTTAAAGTAACCACTGTTAATATCTTCAGTAGTATTTTGCATGCTATTACTTCTGAAAAGTGCCTACATTGGCAGTGTTTACGTTGACATTCTTCTACCTCTTCTGTATGGGAACTGTATGACATGAATTTGTATTATACATGAACTTAGGATGGTTGCAGCTCCATCTACATGATTAATAAGACTATAATTTTGAATATAAAGCATGCTACTATAATTTAACATACAATGTACATGTGTGAAGGAAAGGAAGAATTTCTTAATTTTTTATGTTAATCATTGTTGGAAAGAAGCTAACTCTGGGATAAATAAGAAAGGTACTAATAATTGTTCCTTTTTTTTTTTAAAGCTTAATTAAGGGGTGCCCTTGAGATAACAGTTGTAGGAGACACTGGTAGTTATTGTTCATCTCCACTGAGGTGATAGTATTTAACATTGCTCTAGTTTATTTTTAACCTCCCTAACAATGGGCAAGGAATAAAACTCTCTTAAACCTCAAATTCAGCTTTTATTTTATGTACAGAGGACTGTGTCATGTATTTGTCCTGTATTAGTTTGGTTTCATTTCCTTTCTATATGTAAATATAAAAATTTGATACTCTATCAGTTGAATGTATTTTTTTTAGTGGATGCTAGTTTATTGTTTTAAATTTTTATGCTAAGGATAAAAAAGTTTATATTTATAAATTCTAAATTTTATATATATCCTTCTCACCCTTTCCCCTCAACTGCTTACTTCCCCTTACCTGTTTCTTATATATTCTTCCAGAAACATTTTATGCATAATCTATATAAAGCAAAAATGTGTCTTTTAACACAAATGTTACCGTTCCTATTGCCTGTTCCTTTCCTTTTTTTCTGTTCCTATGTTTTGAAACTCCTTCCAAGGGCTCCCTCATCGTTGCTGACAGCACTGTATAAGTGGACTATAATTTATTGGGTTGTCGGAAAAGTCATGATGCATTTTTGCAATGAAAAACAAAGAAAAAATACGTCATGACTTTACTGACAACCCAATATTTAACTAGGTTTTTACCAATGCACATTTAGTTTGCATAACACGATGCTGCAGTTAAAAAGCGTTGTACATATTTAGTTTATACATTTGTGAAGTATATTTCTAGGTAAATTCCTTGAAGTAGAATATGCATTTATATGAGAGGATATGCATTTATAATGTTGGTGGAATTTGCCAAGTAACAAGTGTATTGGTTAGAACTCAAAAGCTGTTTGGAAGTAATGCATGTCTTAGGTAACTAGGTAAACATTTTTTAAAAAAGTTTTTAATAACTGTGACTTGGAGGTTTGAAGTTAGAACCAAAACCTTATTATCCTGAAGTAATCATAGTTTGTAAAAATAGAATGGCAAGACTTACGTTACTCATTTTATAATCTTTTTTATCTTGTTTAATCCTTCCATCCCTTTGGCCATGGCTTTTAGAGCTTGATTTCTCTATCACAAATCAGTGGCTAAATTTTTAGACTGTGACACATGATAAGAAATATACTTTACATGTGACTCAGTGTACATGCTCATCTATATCCCCATATAGTGTAGGTCTATAGTGTAGGTTGTTTAGCTAAAACAAAACTTCTCAAATATACTTACTCTAACTTCATGGAAGCACGTATTCTGAACTATTTTATCCCATTTCTTAAAGGAATAAAAAGATGTTAGCCCTGACTCATTAAATTATTATAGTACCCACTAACGAAACACATCTTGGCATCTTATCCCCTATGGTTACCTATTCTTACTCCCAAAACAAAAACAACTCAAAACAAACAAACCCCAGACATAATATAGGATAAGAAAGACTCATTTGTAGAAATTTGTTTAGCTAAAAAGTGATAGCTTCAGATTTTGACACAGGTTGGTCTTACTCTAAAATGCAGCTTTTCCCATTACAGCTTCCCTGTTGGGGGGATTATGTGATAATGTGTTCAAGCATTTTTTAAATATTACTTTTTTATGTATTTTTCATTGAGGTGAAATTCACATATAACAGAATTAATCATTATAAAGTATACAAGTCAGTGACATTTAGTGTACTCATAGTGTCCTGTAATTACTACTTCTCTCTAGTTTCAATACTTTTTTAAAAATTAATTCATCAAAAATTTTTTTTGTTTCAATTACAATTGACAGTCAATATTATATTAGTTTCAGGTGTATATTTATGTGATTTATGAAGTGATCCCCCTGACTAGTCTAGTACCCACGTGGCACTATACATAGTTTTTATAATATTGTTGACTATATTCCCTATGCTGTACTTTACATCCCTGTGACTATTTTGTAACTACCATTTTGTACTTCTTAATCTCTTCACCTTTTTTACCCTGGCCCCAATCCTCCTCCCATCTGGCAACCATTAGTTTGTTCTCTGTATCTATGAGTTGTTCCTGTTTTGTTTGTTCATTTATTTGTTCTTTAGATTCCAATATAAGTGAGATCATATGGTATTTGTCTTTCTCTATCTGACTTATTTCACTTAACATAATATCCCCTGGGTCCATCCATGTTGTTGCAAAAGTTAAGATTTCTTTCTTTATTTTTTTCATCTCTCTCAATTCTTAACTGCCACACGTGGGTGTTGGAACCAGCCCATTTTGCTTCTCTGCTCTCTGTATCAGTCTTGATATGGCTTCTTCTTTATATTTTAATTATAGGACTTCTGTTCAGCTAGTCTTTAGGTGGTTCTCAAGGTGGTTGTTCTATAATTTAGTTGTAAATTTGATGTGGTCGTGGGAGGAGGCGAGCATAGCATTTACCTACTCAGCCATCTTGACTGAAAGTCCGTGTTAAAGCTTTTTGACACTGTAGAACCTTGTACAAACGTTGCATGCATTATTCTTTGTCTAGACTCTCTCTCTTTCCCAGGATGCAGTGGAGGGCCAGTGATTGTGCTTTTTCTAGTATGCTACCCTGCCTCACTGATTTGTCATTTTGTAGATTGTGATTTGTCTTAAGATAGTTATTAAATAGGTAAAACAGCTACTTTTAAAACTGGTTAAGATTATTACTGCTTCTCTTTAAATAATTACCTCTATGCCTGTCATTTTGTAGTGCTTAGAGACTTTATGTTCTGTCTAGTATTTTGTTTTAAAAGTTACTGTACTAACATGATCAGAATCAACATTTCTGATGTAGTTCCTAGACCTTCGTTTGCTGGTTAAGTAGAAGAAGCTTTTATTTTCAGATCTACACAAAATAAACAAAATGAACACAGTTAAGTTTAGAGGCAGTTTAAGGTTCTCCAAAGAACTCTGTTTTTATTATGGCTTTAATTCCTGAGCTGCAAATATTCTCTTGCTCCAGGCTACTATTAGCAAACTTGGTTTTCATGTGGTTGATAAACAAGGGGAGCTGGTTGAGTGCATTGCCCCTCCTGGAGGCTGGGCTTGTGGGTGTAGAGTGAACTTTGATGAACTGAGCTGTGGTAAATGATGGTGGCTTCAGGAGGCTGTGTAGGAGATGATGAGTAACATGGACAGGGCGAGAAGACACCACATTGGAGTAGATAGTATAGGATGGGGAGAAGAGTGACAGGATACAGATACAGGTGAAGATGGCTCAGATGATGGTGACTATGGAAGCTGCATTTCTGGTGTTTATGGTACTACAGGGCATGGGTGATGACTCAGTACCTGTTCAGAGCAGTGATGCAGAGATGCAGGTTGGAGGCCGTGTAGCACGTGATGCCAGAAGATAGCCAGATGTCACATATGATTTGGCTAAAGTTCTAGGTGTGGATATGATGGTGTATGTGATGCTGATGGATGTGACCAAGGTGAAAATCATGAGGTTGATTATGGCCAAGGAGCCAATTCTCATTGGCTGGAGTGTGGAGCTTCTTAGTATGGAAGATGGTGGTAACCACAAAGGCTTTGGAGAGGACCATGGTCAGTGTGGTTGTGGAAAGGACCACACCAAGAGAGACCTTGAACTCCTGGAAGGTCCCAGAGCAAAAGCCTCTGGGGTTCTGCAGCATTCAGGATCTGTTGGAGGCTTCCAGGAAAAGGCCTTCCACTGTCTGGGTTGGTGGGGGCATTCTAGGTGGCTTTGTGTTCCACATTCATACCTACTTCTTTCACAGTTGTCTTCCCCACGGACCAAGGTCATCCTTCCATTTCACACTGGTGGGAGCTGTATGTCACATGAACAGACACAGTGAAAAGAGTCCAGGACTTGATTGTGTAAAGAACATTGAGGCGACTCTCAGCTGTAATTAAAGATTTCTCTTAAATCAAATAAATCCTGAGATTTGTCACTAATCTGGGATTCTGGTGGACACATGCTGAATTTGTTAGATAATTATCAGGTCGACAGAGCTCTGCAAATTCTTGCTTTTGGCATTTTGGCTCTTTCCAAAGCTTGAGACTCTTACTGTTTGATGATATGTTTAGAAATTCCCGTGTTCTATTCTGAGAAGATTCTGGATTTCAGGTTGCCTTCTGTGAGTTTTTAAAACTAGAGGCCCAGTTCATTCAGAGTAGCGGTTTAGTCAACAGCTCACAGTTTTCCAAGGTTAATCTCAACACATAGTGGCATACTTATTTTGGTTCCCTTATATGGATCGTTTTTGACCCTGAAGAGATAAGCATTCCAATTTCCAAGACCTAAGAATGCACGAGCTTGGATAAGTGATCCAAAACATGGATCACAATGAGTGTACCAGTGCTCATGTTCAGAAGTCCCTCCCTGGCCGTGCTGGTGCATCTGGGTATCCAAGAATTCCTTGAATACTTTTTCATGAGAGGTCATGGGTGCTATACTTCCCTTGCTCGTTGACCATGGGTTTATGCTGTGTGTG